AAAAGGTTTTTTTTTACTTTTAATTGTTTTTTTTTTTACTTTTAACCCCTAACTAGCCTAACCGTAAATCCCCTAATTTCACTGGGGGGACTGGAGGCCCCCTGGAGTGGCGGGCCCGGTTGCAGCTGCGACTCCTGCAACATAGGTAGTTCTGCCACTGCACCCATATACTGTCCGTGTGTATGTGTATGTATGTCTGTGTGTCTGTATGTGTGTGTGTCTGTATGTATCTGTGCCTGTATGTGTGTGTCTGTGTGTATGTGTGTCTCTGCATATGTGTGTGTGTCTGTATGTGTATCTGTTTGTCTGCATGTATGTGGGGGGGAACGTATGGGAGTTGGCGGGGGGGTAGACGTATGGGGGGCCCAGGGAAGTTTTTGCACTGGGGCCCCGTGGTTTCTAGTTACGCCTCTGCATGGGTGATAAAAAAAATACATGAATAGGATAAGCACTAGAATGTAGATACGATAGCAAGCAGCAAACACTAATAGTAAGGGTTACCCTCAACTGCTTACTGAAAGATATAGAGAAAATAATATAGACAAAATATAGGTTGCACAAATATAAAGTCCAATTTATCCACAATTGCTGGAGTCATCTCTTCTCAACTGGTAAATACATTTTCCTTATTATATACATTTTTTAGAACCAGGAACAGAAGAAATTAAAATATAATCAAAGCAACTAAAAGCATAAAAAGTGTAATAAATGGGCAAACACAACTAATAGCGAATGCCAAATATAATTCAATGCTTTAAAAACAAAAAGTTAAAACCACACTCTTTCTGGGAGGATATGCGTTAGGAGTCTGTAATAGGATGTATAGCAAGCTTCCACCATACATTTTCTTAAATATTTTTTTTTAAATCTGCAGGAAGCGGGGTACAATTCATGAATCCCTGGTGAGTTAAAGGGACACTATAGGCACCCAGACCACCTCAACTCATTAAAGTGGCCTGGGTCCCTTAACCCTGCAATAGTAATTATTGCAGTTATTGAAAAACTTAGCTGTCTAGAGGGACTTCTGTGTCGTTAGGCAACTTTTGGTCGCCTAACTCACACTGGACGTCCTCATGCTATTCAGCATCACCCAAAACCCCATAGGAAAGCATTGCATAATGCTTTAATATGGGGGAATACCTAACGCGAGCGCGGCCAAGTAAGTGACTCAGCACCACGAGGAGGGAGGGGGGTGCGACAGAGGGGGTACTATTGTGCTATTGTGCCAGGAAAACAATTTAGCTTTCCCGGTATTAATACCCTTCAATCTATGGATCCCTGGTGGGTGGGTTGGCCCAGCTCGGAGGCCCATAATGTTCCTGCTGGTCCAGTGTGGGAACATGTGAACCTCACTTTCAGCTGGTGCAGACCACTGAATGCTCTCCTAGTTGGCTGGCATTGAATGGGTCACCGTGTTTCCATGGTAACCTGGAGGCAGCGCTCTTACTTATTTTGTGATTGCTAGGATTTAAGAGGGAGCATTTAAAGTGGTCCACACCAGCTGAAGGTACAGACCACATACTCCTTAAGAGAATTCTACTGTTATTTTGAATATATTGCCAAATAGAGAATATATTAAATAGCAGTTTTCCAAAGGTGACCGTCCTCTCAGACTGGACTCCCCCTGACAGGCAGAACTCCAGGGCCGGTTACAACCATAACCATTTCGACCCTGGCAGTTCCGCTTGTGCCTGGAAGGTAATAGACAAAACACAGCAGAGAATGAGATTAAGACTGCAGTTTGAATATATCAGCCAGTTGGAGCCCGGATACTGTCCCTGTTTCAGAACTGAGAATTCCTTGTTTGAATCGTTGTCGGACCATCTCACCAGTACGTGTCCATGGACAACACACCTAATGATATATATCTGACATCCTCATAGAGGATAAGCTTATTTTAGCAGGGCCTTCTTCACCTCTAAATACACCCTTTCTGTAAATGTAAAGTAATATGTTGGTGCCAAATAAATGCAAATATTCATGGTCGCCATTAATAATCTGTCTCAATGATTTATTTTTCACTTTAATACAACGTCATGCTTTCAGGTTGCAGAAGTCTTTTACAAAGGAGAGCAATATCACAGACGGGGAGCTATTTTAGTTGGGGGAATATATATCAGACGAGAGATATTTATCACTGATTGGTGATGTGGAAATGCGTTATAGTACAGACAGCTGAGCTATATCACAAATAGGTGATCAGGGATCGAGATTCTACCATGTGTATAGGACATATTTTACAGATAGGGGAGTTATGTCAATGATCAAACACCTCCCAACTGTACCTATTTAAGAACAACAGTCCCTATTTGGGCCCAAATCCCTCTGTCCTTCTTTTCTCCACAGCAATAATACTCCCAGTAATGTGTCTGAGTGTATAACAGAGCTCCACAGCAATAATACTCCCATTAATGTGCCTGAGTGTATAACAGAGCTCCACAGCAATAATACTCCCAGTAATGTGTCTGAGTGTATAACAGAGCTCCACAGCAATAATACTCCCAGTAATGTGTCTGAGTGTATAACAGAGCTCCACAGCAATAATACTCCCAGTAATGTGTCTGAGTGTGTAACAGAGCCCACAGCAATAATACTCCCAGTAATGTGTCTGAGTGTATAACAGAGCTCCACAGCAATAATACTCCCAGTAATGTGTCTGAGTGTATAACAGAGCTCCACAGCAATAATACTCCCAGTAATGTGTCTGAGTGTATAACAGAGCTCCACAGCAATAATACTCCCAGTAATGTGTCTGAGTGTATAACAGAGCTCCACAGCAATAATACTTCCAGTAATGTGTCTGAGTGTATAACAGAGCTCCACAGCAATAATACTCCCAGTAATGTGTCTGAGTGCATAACAGAGCTCCACAGCAATAATACTCCCAGTAATGTGTCTGAGTGTATAACAGAGCTCCACAGCAATAATACTCCCAGTAATGTGTCTGAGTGTATAACAGAGCTCCACAGCAATAATACTCCCAGTAATGTGTCTGAGTGTATAACAGAGCCCCACAGCAATAATACTCCCAGTAATGTGTCTGAGTGTATAACAGAGCTCCACAGCAATAATACTCCCAGTAATGTGTCTGAGTGTATAACAGAGCTCCACAGCAATAATACTCCCAGTAATGTGTCTGAGTGTATAACAGAGCTCCACAGTAATAATACTCCCAGTAATGTGTATTTAACCCCTTAAGGATGGAGACAATTGTAATCAAAACAAACCCTAGAATTTGATTATATGTCTATTAAGTAATGTGTCTTTAAATTACAGTAACTGTTTAGAAATCTGTGTAAATAAATACATTGTTCTTGTTCTATGGTACATTTTAGTTGTATAAATTGTCATTAGTAAGTCCCCTAGTATTTCTCTGCCCCGCCCCTGCCCACACCACTAAAATGAAAGTCTCCCTCTCTGCCTTTTTGGTCATTTTGGGATGTAGGGTACAAGCAGAAAGGAGGGATAATTAATAATTTGAGAGAGGAAACTCGCCAAGCACAAACAATCTTCAATCCTTAGACTGAAACATGCGGCTTCTTTTTAAATAATTATTTATTCACCATTGATGTATTAATTAGATGTTGCTTTGATTAGCTAATTAATGCTGTTTCCATGACGACACCTTGATGGGTTTATTGCTTGTCTCGTCACTTTCTCTCCTATATACAAGTCTCTCAGTCTCTGGCACGTCTAATTTCTAAATCTAATTAAAACACAAATTTGGCTGCACCTGCACGGAATAGTCACCGCCAGCCACAGAGTTTTATTCTCATTGTAAAATATTCCACCTGTGGGTCAGGTCCTCAGACACAGTACATAACCCTGCGATGATCGCTAACCTCAGCACTATGAATCGTGGGAAGTGTAGTTAGCAGCCACCAGGGGTGCCAAGATTGACTAATATTGGTTTAACCCTTTCAGCAATCGTGGCAAATGTGTAACACATTCGGAATGGCATTTACAAACGGTGTTTCCAGGTTAAATGGCCATAACACAACCCCTGTTCACTTAACGGTGACCACCATCAGCAATTTCATGTAATACGGCCCCCTTTTGGGGGCTACATGTCAGCTCCGCCTTCTGTAATTGTAGCCAAATGGGCACACTGGGACAGGAGGGTGTCGTTTTTCAAGGTGTATATAACTAATTAATTTTAACACACATTACATAACTCGCAACATGCCTCGATTAAATATGTTTCGATAAACTTTTTCAATGATTTCATATTTTAAAATATATTTGAAATTTTTTTTACACCTATGATATATGTTGCGCAAGAGAGGGAGCTTTCTAAAAAATGATGCAGTTTGAGCACAGTTGCTTTCATTATTTGTAAAAAGTGGGTAGCTTGAGGTGTATTTTCAAAGTTACTACATAGCTGTATATAGGATTGAGAAGCACAGGTTGCTTGTTTGAACCATTAAAGGAACACTATAGTGCCAGGAAAATAAAAGCTGTTTTCCTGGCACTATAGTTCCCTATAGTGCCCCTCTTTTGCCAATTACCTGAGTCCAGAACTGATGTCCCACGGCGCTGGCTCGGGTCTGCCTTTACTCCTTCCCTGCCGCCAACAGCTGGCAGGGGAGACCTAATGCGCATGCATGGCAATGGCCGCGCTCACATTATACAATGCTTTCCTAAGGGGTTTCGGGTGTCGCTCGATGTCCTCATGCATAGCGACTTTTAGTTGCCTAGTGACCCAGGAGTCCCTCAAGTGGCTGTATGGTAGACAGCCACTAGAGGTGGAGTTAACTGTGGATAGTAATTATTGCAGTTTATTAAAAGTGTTTTCCAGTGTTAAGGAACCTAGGACACTGCACCTAGACCACTTCGATGAGCTAGTTGGTCTCTGTGCCTATAGTGTCCCTTTAAATCTATAATATGCAGTGGCATTTACTGAATTGAAAGTGAATTGAAACTGACAGTTTTTAAGTCAAAATAATCTAACTGGAACAGTCCTCTAATTTAGCTATACTTTCATTTTAACTACTCTGGCCTTACATTATAAATTCACTTTAAATTCTAAGTTTAATAAGTAACCCTGATAATCTGTAATGTAATAGGAGAGAACATGGAGCTGTTCTACAGTATGCCCGGTGTCTATTCACACCTTTAGAGAGACACCTTTTTGACTGGTTCTTCTCACCTTGGGACCAAACCAGCATTAGGACCCAGCATGCATTGCACTCTTATGCAAATGTGTAGCTGTTGATTTGCATATGTCACAGAGATGAAGCTTCAATCAAACCTCTCTTTTTCTTGTTAAACAATCCTGCTGTCTTCATTGCACATTGCTTGTAACATCATATAACAAAACAAGAGTTATTTCTTTAAAAATCCCAACTTTTAACTATAACTGTAAAAGCTAACATGTTTTGGCCATTTTGCCATTTTTTTAAATTTAATTTTTGCATAGTAATAAAATACTAAACTTCTTATAGACACAACTTTTCTTTTTGTTAGCGCATCAGATAATGTAAACATACATCAATAACAAACAAATGGAAACCATTACGCTAGATAAAGTATTGCGCCGCTGAATAGACTCCACCGCGATCTCACTTCTATTTCATTGTAAACGGGTCGTCACCTTTAATAGAAAATAAAATAATATGAGATTGAAAAACAAATGTTCTGGAGCTAAATATTGATTGTTACATAGAGAAAGCAGACACATATAATGAGAAAATCACAGCTAAAACCACCCACTTATTTATGTGACTAGATACTCCGGTTGCCATAGCGATCTATTATCAGTACAAAGCACGGGGACGTCCGGAAGGTCATCTGAAAGATTGCACTTTTTCTGCTAAAATTAGAACCAACTGCTGGCAAATTCTTCGAACATATAACCCTTATATTTCAATCAATTGTCTAAATATTATTCATTTATTTTTCAATTTTTTTGTGTGAACTACAAGAGTTACAAATATTTCTGGCCTTCAGGGTTTACTTAGTTTCAATAACTCTGGCCAGACATGTCTAATTTCCAGGTTATAGGTTGTGTTAATCTACTGTTAAATTAAGTTACTGTTTGTAAGACGTACAGGAATAACTTTAGAAGGATTCAGATGAATGCAGGGAATTGATAAGGACAGACTGTCTATCGTAACCAGGTTATCAGTTAAAGGGACACTATAGTCACCAGAACAACTACAGCTGATTGAATTTGTTCTGGTGAGTAGAATCATTACCTTCAGGCTTTTTTGCTGTAAACACTGTCTTTTCAGAGAAAATGCTGCTCGCACCCGTACGGCCAACTCAAGCTTGCAGGACTTCTCGCGGGTGGCTCCCTTCCTATGGAATAGCCTGCCTACCCCAATCAGACTCCTAGTCTTCAATCATTTAAAAAGTGCCTTAAAACCCATCTATTTAGGAAAGTTTATGGCCTCCCAGAGTAACCTCTACCTCACATACCTGTCTCTTGCTCTCTCCTAAGGGCAACACTCTACTCTCTCCTCCAGCTCTTCTTCACTCCCACCTTATTTGATTGCTATTTCCTGTCCTAATGGGTTTTATACCCCACCTGCTATAGGTCCTCTTCAACCTATCGTTCCTGTAAGTTTTTTTGTAATTGTCCCACCTATCGTTCCTGTAAGTTTTTTTGTAAATACCTCCTCTCATAATATTGTAAAGCGCTACGGAATCTGTTGGCGCGATAATAATAATACATTGCAGCCTAGTGATAACTTGACTGGCCACTCCTCAGATGACTGCATGCAGACACTGAACCTTCCTCATAGAGATTCATTGATTCAATGTATCTCTATGAGGAGATGCTGATTGGCCAGGGCTGTGTCTGAATTATGCTGGTTTTGTCCTTCAAATGACGCTGAAATCAAGAAAATCTGAATATACAGAGGAGTCAGACGCTCCATGGAAGAACGTCAGGAAACAATCACATTACTTTGCGTGAAGTACTTTGCGACTTAACCGACCATTCAGTGGACGGCCTCTGTGACTATCCCAGGGCTAAATCAGACACTTCTACCAGGAAATCCTTTGCCATAGCCGACATGGGGTTTATTCACTAAACAGCAAATTATAGTGATTTTTTTTCCATTTCTACCATCTCAGCTATGTTGACCTTCACTTTGAAATTATGTTTTTAATAAACTAACTATTGGGCTATAAAATAGAAATCACAACATTACTCCTTGTTACTCAGAGAAGTTCTTGGCTGGCATATTATATGTCTGTGTGTCCTTACACCCAATAATGGAGACTGGGGCAGAGGTAAAAGGAGGGTGGGGGGTATCTAAAGAGGGAGATAATACCCAAGATAAAGATGGGAAACGACCAATAAAAATGGTTGGAAATACAGAAATTAAAGACAGCAGATGAAAGCAGAAAGATGTAGAAAGAGGCAAAGGATAAAAGGCAGAGTGAAAGAAAAGAGAGAGAGAGAGAGAGAGAGAGAGAGAGAAAGTAAAAAAATAGCCATTATTCTCTCTTTGTTCCTTTGTATAATTTCTATTTCAGATCTGTAAATACAGAAAGCCACCAGTGTCTTTGGTGAAATTAGTTTAAAAAACAAAAAACAAAAAAAACCTCTAAAACTTTTAGAAATGCTTTGAAATGCAGAAAAGAAAATAATTGGAGCATGTGAGAGGGAGACAGATAAACAGATGTCAAACAAACATATATTTTCACGGGACATAACACTTGGGTTCCCTGCTGACATTTTCATGAGCTCTCTGACGCCAAGAGAAGCGGGGGTTCAGAAAATAACACTTTGTAGACGTGGAAATAAATACTATAATTCTACTCCAGATCCATCTAATACGCTGAGTGGAACAAGTCCAATTCTTTGTCTTGTGCCTAGTACAATCCTATCTCGTCACTATCCCATCACTATTCTGTCACTACCCTGTCCACATCTATCCCCTTATTATTAACCTGCACCTCTGCTGCTGCGTTTACATACCCGCCACCCATTTAGTAATGTATTATGTGATGCGGGTGCCATGTACGGTTAACATCTTATTCTTCGCTGATATGCTTTAAAAAAATCTAAATTTTAAATATCTTTTCATTTAAGCAACAATGTGAACCTTCTAGCTGCCTGTTTAGCTTAACTTACTGAATGGATTGGAAGCATTTCTTCTCGTGTTTTATAATATTTTAAATATTATAAAATAGGAGAGTGATACTAAGCGTACACTTCCATAGCGGCATTCATATTGCCGGTGTTTAGAGGTCACAGGTTATAGCAGAAACTTTGTAATAATTATAATAATAATAAGTTAATATTAATGATATTCCTGCTATGGATTAACATAGCATGTCCTGTGTCCCCAATAAATGCCATTGTTCTCTGTTATCTTTAAATAACCCTTGTAGTGACCATGATGTAATGAGAGATGCGGCCTATGATTAAACATGAGGATTGCCAGATTGCCCGTTTCAGAATATCATGAGCTCTGTGTTCTGTTGGGCAAAGTTAGAAAAAGATGACAACTGTTTGTGGAATTCATGTGCTTCTAGGGTGAAATCAGCTCGTTATGGCAGCTGATTTAGGATCTGCAGCTCATTTATTTTATATTGGGAGGATATGAATATAATAAGGTGCTGGGCACCTGACTGACACAAGGAAAAACTCATATAAGCATTCTGAAAAAACGAGATAAGTTATGCCTGTACCCCCAGAGTCCATCAACTGTACCTGTACCCCCTGAGTCCATCAACTGTACCCCACTACACCCACCAACGGTACCTGTACCCCCTGAGTCCATCAGCTGTACCTGTACCCCACTACACCCACCAACTGTACCTGTACCCCCTGAGTCCATCAACTGTACCTGTACCCCACTACACCCAGCAACTGTACCTGTACCCCCTGAGTCCATCAACTGTACCTGTACCCCACTACACCCACCAACTGTACCTGTACCCCCTGAGTCCATCAACTGTACCTGTACCCCACTGCACCCACCAACTGTGTGTGTACCCCACTGCACCCACCAACTCTGTGTGTACCCCACTGCACCCACCAACTGTGCCTGTACCCCCAGAGTCCATCAACTGTGTCTGTATCCCACCACAAACACCAACTGTGTCTGTACCCCCTAGAACCCACCAACTGTGCCTGTACCCCCTGCACCCACCAATGGTACCTGTACCCCTGAGTCCATCAACTGTACCTGTACCGCACTACATCCACCAACGGTACCTGTACCCCCTGAGTCCATCAACTGTACCTGTACCCTACTACACCCACCAACTGTACCTGTACCCCCTGAGTCCATCAACTGTACCTGTACCCCACTTCACCCACCAACTGTACCTGTACCCCCTGAGTCCATCAACTGTACCTGTACCCCAATAGTCCACCAACTGTATCTTTACCCCACTACACCCACCAACTGTGCCTCTACCCCGTGAGTCCATCAACTGTACCTGTACCCCCCAACTGTACCCGTACACCACTTCACCCACCAACTGTGCCTGTACCCCCTTGCACCCACCAACTGTACCTTACCCTCCTGAGTCCATCAATGGTGCCTATACCACCCTGCACCATCAATAGTGCCTATAGTACCCTGCCATATCAGCGGTTTCTGTACCAACCAGTGTCCATTAGTTGTGACTATACCACCCTCAGCTCATCGGCTGGTACTTAACCACCCTGTGCCCTTCAGATGTGCCCGGTGGCCACAGGGTGCTGTTTAATGACCTGTTTGACAGTATTTATTAACAGTCACCATCACCAATCACTTTTAAAAAATCTTAAATTCTCCCATCTCTGAACATACACTAATTAACTCCTTACTCCATTGATCAAACTCTGCCGAGTTATAGAATTGACAGTTCAGAGATGTCCCCGGAGTCTTCCTGCAATAAAACCATTTAATTCAGACGACTCAGTCTGAAATTTAGCTTTTTTTGTTTTGGGGAAACAGAAGATGCCCCTGCAGTTTTCCCCGTTACAATTGGTAAAACACTGAGAACAGGTGTGTGGCTGGAAATCCCAAATCCTTCCAAATGTAGGCAGGAGGGGCTTTAACAATCATCCCTAATTATAATCTGCAGCACGGAACGGTAAGAAGACCAGCAGATTAGAGAAGGAATAAATCTCCTGCGCTGCAGGTCCGCGAGCCCCTTAAGCATATCATTTGTAGTAACACAAAGTCCTCTCTCTCTAACCGTTTTTTATTTCCTTACAATAAAATAATTTACATTATCTATTTGAAGAACTCCCGGTAACATGCAGTGTGAATGAATGTATCACAGAGCTCTACAGCAATAAAACTCACAGATATTTTTTATTATTATGATTATTTACATTTCTATAACTCGAGTATTCCACAGCCTTTTATAATTTTATTGAGGTATAACCAAAAACAACAGTCACTGGCAGAGCAGAGTGGCTGCAGTGATACCTAATGACGAGACACTCAATGTAATTAATGCATTATATGTAAGTGTTCTGGTCAATTAGAAGCTCCGTTTTAAAAAGATTGGGCTTTAGAAAGCAGGAAGACGTCCGTTTTAAGATGAAAGAGAAGCAGCTGGTGATACGTTCTAGAATGATTGGAAAGAGGTCAGGAAGGAGAGTTATATCTGGGTGCCACTGAAACATAGAAACATAGAATGTGACGGCAGATAAGAACTATTCGGCCCATCTAGTCTGCCCAATACTGCCCAAACTGACATATAATTGGTTCTAAACTCCATATGAGCTGATGAAGTTGTCTATTGAGGAAGTATACAGAGAAAAAAGATGGAAGACAAAAATGGTGGAACTCCATGTCAGACAGGCCAAGGGGAGGAGGTGTCACCAGAACAGGATATCCTGAAGATGGATAGGACAAGAGAGGAATAGTGTCACCAAGACTGAGGATGAGGCTTCACACGGTTTGGAGAATGGGAGTGACATCAGCAGAGTAAAAAGCAGCAGTGAGGTCCGGGAGAATTACACAATGAATTTTGGAGTTAGTTGTCAGGAATAAGATTACTCTACAATAACCCATACTTATTCCCTAGCTTATTCCTTAAATGTTACCATACCAGAAATAGTCAACGTATCATGTGATCTTCTATCAGTGGCCGAACTAACACAGGGTGAACCCTGGTGCAAGGAATTGTTGGGTCCCTCCCTGTAAAGTGGCCAAATGGGACATCCTCAACTGTCGTACAACACCCTCGATTTGTCAGCTGTGGCTCTACCATTTGTTCATCCTCACATGGCTGTTGTAAGCAGTATTTATGTGTTTGAATGTAAGCATGTTTTGTAGTCCTTCTGTTTGGAAATTGTATGTTCCACCCATTTATTCCTCTCGCACAATTAGTGGCATCACCCTGCATGGAAACACTTTATTACTAAAAATATATTAAACACGGCTGGATTCTGGGACATTTCATTTCTAACAATTTTCAAGATTATGTTTTGCTCTTTTGTCCCATAAAGTTATAAACTATGCATCGGGGGACATTCCGATACCGCTTAGCATTTCTGGAATCGGATGTTGAACTCAGAGTGAGTTTCAACAGTGTGTTCACATTCTTTAAAACGTCACAGTAGTGATGTCACAGTTAGTGTGCAATAACTCTGTAATATAGTCTGAGTGAAAT